TGGGCAGGTCTGCACCTGACCCCGGCGGCTCTGCACCTGACCCCAGGGAGCTCTATGCCTGACCCCGGGCAGGTCTGTGGTGCCAGGTGCCCGAGCCCTGGCTCTGAGCAAACAGGAGGAGCCAGCAGTCAGCTCTTACCCACGGTGGGGTTTCAGTTTTCTCCCCTTTTCCGAATAACGGCAGGTCAGACCAAGAGCCTGGCCGAGGCCCACGCACAGCTACTGAGCCCGGCACCAGCTGGGACTGGAAAGTGACTGCCCGCTGCACCACCCAGTCAGCTGATCATTACCGACAGCCGGCGGTGCTGACTGAGAGCTGGACGCAGAGGGCGCCGTCACTATAAATCAGTATTCTTTAAAAACCCCTAGTAACAAGGAGGGACTCAGCGGAGGGTCAAGGAAGATCAGACAGCCGTAGATGGCTTCCGGAAAAGAGAGCAGACCGCTGTGGAGCCAGGTGAAAGCTGCGCAGGTGCATGATGGGAAACGTAAGGACAATTATTTGTAGCCGCAGCTGTTACTAAGGTCCCATAGTTTCCTGTTGTACAGATTCCACTGTACTATTCAGGAGGTGCATGTGAGAACGTGCAATCCCGCTGCGGAACATTCCAGAGGCTGCGCATTACAGCGAGCGCTCCTCCCGTCTGCACTGGACTCAGTTCCGACTCAGAAGCGTCACTGGAATCTGCAGGAGGATGCTGATCGCCACAGGTCACCACTGTTCCAGGGCAACGGAGGACGGTGTGGGCAGAGTTACACTCACGGCGAGAAAGGCATGTTCACCGCTCTGGGGCAGCGATGGCGAACCTATGGCACGCGTGAACTCATTTTTTTGGTTGATTTTTCTTTGTTAAATGGCATTTAAATATATAAAATAAATATCAAAAATATATCTTTGTTTTACTATGGTTGCAAAGATCAAAAAATTTCTATATGTGACACGACACCAGAGTTAAGTTCGGGTTTTTCAAAACGCTGACACGCCGAGCTCAGAAGGTTCGCCGTCACTGCTCTAGGTCAAATACGGGGCTAGCAGAGGCCTCATCTGATTTTGAATCCCTTAACGTACCAAGGAGGTAACACATTTAACACTTCACCGGACATTAACATTACTTTTTAGAAGTCACAGAAATGAGTAGGCCGGGTCTTAACAATGATTTTAGAAAAACTGGCAAAAATACCAGTTTTCTAACCCATTCAAATTTCAGTAAACAAACAAACAAAAAAAGCAAAAAACTATAGACCCGAACACTTATCTGTATTCTGTGCAGAGTAAGGGCGTGTAACAGTCATTTGTTTGCTTGAGTTAAAAAGGTGTTTGGGGGGGTGGAGCGAGTGGAACACCCAGCCGACTACTGAACTGTGACTCAGCCTGGAGGGCGCCTGCTCGGCCCCCCGCAGGGAGCCCTGCTGTCCCGGCGGAAGCGTTGGCAGCGAGGGCCCCCCCACAGCAGGCCCCGGAGACAGTGCCGTCCTGCTGGGAGGTTCTGCTCGGCTCGGCAGACCTGTGGTCCTCGCTGACACTGAGTCAGTGGTGGACACCTGGTCACTGTTCATCCAACTCCCCAGAGTTTGTTCCAACTCCATTTTGGGGGCAGCCCCAACTGGTTGTCTAAATGAGGATTTTTAAAAAATACATTTTTTTATTGATTTCAGAGAGGAAGGGAGAGATGGAAACATCAGTGATGGGAGAGGATGGTTGATCGGCTGTCTCCTGCACGCCCCACACTGGGGATCGAGCCCACAACCCGGGCCTGTGCCCTGACCGGAATCAAACGGTGACCTCCTGGTTCACAGGTTGACGCTCACCCGTGGGGCTCCATGAGCTTCCTGAAGCCGCCTCCCTGGCCGGGACTCTGACTGGCCCTCTCCCCCGGCTCCCGCTCCCTCTTCAGCCTGGCCTGCGCCTGACCTCCCTCCTGGGACCACGTCTGGTTCTCACAGGGGGTCCGTGCCCAGAGGCCCGTGTGCAGGAACCTCTGGCAGCAGGAACGCCTCAGCGCCTGGAACCAGTCCCGGCGGTACCCGGCGGGTGCGCTGCCATGCACACGCTGGACTCCTGCAAGGTCGGCCTATGACTCAGCCTCCGTCCGAGACACGGGGTCTGCCCTGGTAACAGGCTGCTGGCCGACCGCTTACAGGATTCGAGGCCCCCAGGCGTGTCCCACACCGCACCGTGGGCAGGCCTGGCTCCCCTGGCTCACTGATCCCCGCCCGCCTGTCCCTCGGCCTCCGTCTGAGACAGAGGTGCCCTGAGGGGCTGCGCGGCTGAGAAGGGGGCCCCTCCAGGAGGCTCGCTTCCAGGACATTCCCTGCCAACCCAACCAAACGAGGGTCCGGCAGGCCGACTGGCTCTTACAGGAACCCACTCATTCTTACAGACAATCACATTTTAAGGGGCAGAGAAAGTAGCCACTTACAGTGAGCAGATGAACACCCTCAGCCACGGACTCTGTCACAGAGAAGGGAAGCAGGGACCCCGATCCCCTCCCAAGCACGACAAAGCCGGGCAGCGGGCGGGCTTAGGGGACCCAGAGCCGCTCCGGGGTGTGCTGGGAGTCAGAGCGGCGGGTTTCGCGCATTTGCCACGGGACGCACAGGGCTTCCCTGGAAACTCTGGGGAGGACAGGAAACTGTTTGCCAAAGCTGGGAGCGGGCAGCTGGCGAACTGTCCCCCGAACTGCCGCAACCACTCAACTCTGCCACGGCCGCGCCCAGGCAGCTGGAGGCGGTGTGGCCACGCGTGCGCCCGGCTGTTGCCAGCAGCTTCATTACAACAGAGCGTGGGGCAGCTCCGACCCCGGGCGCCACATGTGTGTGCCTGCCCCCCACCCTGCTGTGACTGCATCTATCACCACTAAGCACTGAGAGAAGAAAAGACAGACATGAGTTTCAATTGTTATGCCAGAAATGCTAAACTAGAAGACAGACAAGTTCCAGAACGTGGCTGGCGACTGCTGAAAGCCTCCCTTCCCGGGCATTTCAGGGAGGCACTGTCCGCAAACCAGTCCTGACGGGAGAGATTAGGTTTTAAAGGTAAGAAAGCCTCCTTCTCCCTGCTGCAGAGCGCTCCACTGTGTGCGTGTACCACGGCTTCCAGCCGTCCACGCACTGGCGGGCGCTCGGGCTGCTTCGGGATGGGCACGGAGCGGTGCTCCCAGCTCCCTGGGCAGCTCTGATGTGCCTGGTCTCGCCTGGGCTAAGATAAACCCCAACTGGACAGCCATGAGCGGAGGTCTTCTAGTCCCGATGCTATTCCAGCACAGAACAGAGGTCAGTGTGACTGGTTCGCTCCCAGGCACTGGGGCCCCAGACGAGGAGACAGGCCACAGATTTCCGCAGTATCTAAGCCCTGGCTGTCAAGGTCAAGCTCAAACTCAACCAGGAAGCTTCCGTTCAGAGTCTGAGCAATGTCGGCTCACTCTGGGCCTGCCCCTCTGCTGCTCCTGGCAGCGCTAGCGAGCCTGCACTGCGCCTTCCCCGGGCACCGGCTCTCCATGGGTTTCTCCTGTTTCCTACAGAGACTTTGAACATGAATGGCAGGCATCGCCGTCGATGTCTTTGTATTGTCGACACTGAGAATAGGACTGTGTACAAGACAGCACTTTAATTTTGTGAACCACAAAAAATATATATTTGGGGGGGAAACTAAGCTGATAGTCAAGTTTTTTTCAAAAGCAAAATAGTTTCCAAAGTCCCCCGCCAGCCTGCCTTGAAAGAGGAAACGTGGTCAGCTGCTCAAGTCTATCAGGTGCGCGGCTGCTTTTCCAAGATGTTGACGCAATCTGAGAATCGGATGGTTCTGTGCCCACAAAATAAGGGAACTCCTGATTACCTCACCGAGAGGGGCTGACAGTAATGTTCTAACGACATATTTTTCATGCCTACGTTTCTTAACTACCGTGACATAAAACCTGTTACTACTACATGTCAATCCCGCCCCCCCCCATATTGTTAACCTCACAAAGGTAAGACTGTTGAATGTCATGGGGGTCATGTTACATTGTGTAATAGGAAATGGGGCGCTGCCCCTGGCCCTCAGCAGGCCGCTACACTGCTCGGGGCGCACTGCGCGTTTCCTCCCGCAGCTGGAAGGCCTAAGGCAGAGCGAGCTTCATCCAGTCCCGTGGACACTGTCACCCATCAAGCTGGATTTACTTTCAGTGTTTTACTATAAATTACAAGTGTTCATACATTTATAAATATGAAAATAATACAGAAGTGGGTAAAATTAAGCACGAAAGCCTCGTTATTGCCCAGTGGGAACCACTGTTAACAGTCTGAGTCTGTATTTCAAGAATGTTAACTCCACATAAACACTCACATACACACAGTTTTTACTTAACCAAACCCAGTTATACTCTACGCTGCTTCTGCTATCTTACTGAAAAGCTTGTTTGTAGATGTAGATTTACATGGTTCCCTAACATCTCCATTATGCTGTTTAGTTACACTGTGAGTCACTTAACCCCCTCCCGACAGCCAGCTCTGGGCTGGGCCCTTCTGCGTTACCAACACACTCGTGAGCAGCCTGTGCACACATCTTTGGACACATGCTGAAAACAGCTGGAGGAGGGAGAGCACCAGACTTTGAGAGAATTTTAAGTGTGAAGAGGTACTGCCAAAGGACTTAGCCAATTCGTACAGCCAGGCTGACAATGGATATCACACCCACTCGCCTCCGCCGACAACGCTGGGCAGTACCAAGCTTTCACACTTGCTCAGTTGAGAGATGGAAAATACTATCTTGTTTTGTTAACTTGCATTTTCCTGACCACCGATGAAATGGATGATCTTTTCGTTTATTTTTTTTAACTCATTTACTTTTCTTCACTTGTACCTGTCTCTTCATTTCCTCCACCAGCTTTTCTAAGTTGTGTTTCTTTCATGATAGCCTTTTGGAATATTTTATGTAATACAGATACTAACCTTTTGTCTCTCGTGTACTTTGTGACATACGCATTTTAATTTTTTATATTGTCAAATCTGTCCATTTTTGTCATTTATGGCTTCTGGTTTTAACCTACAGACGCATTTCTTAGCCATAAAACTATGCCAATATTCACCTTTTTAAAAAACACACTTTTAGAATTTTATCTTTTAGTTTTGGAACCTGTGTTTGTCCATAGCCGAGGCAGACTTGACCTAATAACTTGCCAAATACAGAGCCTTCACATGAGCCCCCAAAGCCCCTGGCGAGGGAGGCCTGTCCGTTCTGCACACCTGCCTCCTTCCTGGTTTTTGTAAGCACAACACCCCACACACTCCAAACGGACTTCCACAGAGACGGGCACCCACACAGGATTGAAGTGACTTAAAGGCACAGAACACTGACTACGATGCAGACTTCCTGACAGCCACAGAGCACTTACCCATTCCCCTTTCACCTCCACCGGGAAAGCAAAGGTTTGAAAGCAAAACAGATGTTTAATGAAAGGCTTATTCTTACAGTATATCTACCTATTCACCTAGTCAAGCTGGTGGTGAACTAGCCAACTTCAGGAAAAGGACTCAATATCACAGTGTAAAAAATTTACATTTCAAGAAAAGAGCAATACCTTCTCATTAAAATACAGATCATCTGTTAACGTTTCCTATGGGAACATTTGTAACACTCCCTTATCTCGAGAAGAGCACATTACTTTTCTGCAACTTGTGTTGCAACAAAATGCAATTATAAAAGCATTAAGCTTAGTTTTTCAAGTGAGATCAGGCCACTTTGTAACGAGGCCCTATCTGCTGTCGCACTGCACTTTAGTCGCTTTTTAAGGTGGCGCTTCAGAGACCAGGAAGTGTGCGTGCCAGGAGGTGGTGGAGAGGCAGGCCCGGCCTGGCACCGTGTCCGGAGCGGAGCCCACTCCTCAGAGCCGGTCTCTGTGAGAGTGGGGCCAGCACCGGCACAGGCGCACTTCTGTCTGTGAAGAGTGGGTGTGTCTGAAGGTACACTCGTTCCTGAGCTGCAGGAAGATTCCGGCCCTTTGGCCTTGGCCCTCCTGGTTCCCGCCCACAACTAGAGAGAAGCCGTCAGAATGACAGTGGGGACGGGCTGATTTCTCTGTTCTTTCTTCATATTCTGGCCCAGTGGTTCTCACCCTCTGGCCCTTTAAATACAGTTCTTCATGTTGTGACCCAACCATAAAGTTATTTTCGTTGCTACTTCATAACTGTACTGTTGCTACTGTGATGAATCGTCATGTGAATATCTGATATGCAGGATGGTCTGAGGAGGTCGCGGCCCACAGGTTGAGAGCTGCTGTATCTGGAGATCACAGGTTCTACAGAGCTCAGCTGTACGTCCGGATGCGCGAGCCACGGCAAACACCTCTCCCCTCAGAGCCGGCTCCTGGCAGGAGAAGCGTGTGTCTCCATCCTGCCTCCTTGCTCTTTTAAAATGCCGGCCGCCGCCTGCTTGCCCAACAGTGCGAACAGCAAAGCAAAAGTGCCCACTTCTAAGACTCTTATTCTGCAGGTGATGACTAGATTGAGGGACAACGTTTTCTTTTAGAAAATAGTTAGGTCAACCACATGGCTTTATTCTTTCTTAAACTGGTTCCTAATAGTTTTAATTACAATCATAAGAATATACGTATTTAATTGGCAACTGAAAATGATGCTGGAGTATTTCACATGTAAAACTCGTCCTGAAAATAAATTTCCTACAGAACTGGAGCAGTAACCTGAACTCTGAGGTTCCGGGTCGTCGCCGGTTACGACGACGCTGGGGCTGCGCTACGAGCCCGTCGCCTTCACAGCTCTGGTTCCAGGCGACGCTGGGTCCAGGATGAAAGGTCTAAGGCCCCCCGAACAGGACCGGAAGGAGGCTGAGCCTACAGCTCGGAAACCGGTGCTGGTTACTGGCTCTCACGCTCCCTGACGCGCTCGCAGCTGCCGGTAAAGTCCCCAGAGAGGCGGTGCCGCCACGGACAGTGGGCACTGCCCGGCGCCCTTACCATGACGATGTCGCCCGGCTGGATGCTGATCTCATCATGACTCCTGGACTCGAAGGGGTACAGCGCCCGGTAGTACACGACCTTCGAGTTCTCCTGGGCGGAGATCGTGAGCGGGCCTTTCTCTGTTTACAAACAAAGTGGGGGTGGGGGGATGGGAAATAAACATTACACGGAACATGACAACAGGCCAACAGCCGCCGTCCCCTCTACCGCCTCCTCACCACCCGCACGGCCCATCCACCCGGGCTCTGAGGCACACGCCGGATGCCGGGAGCCCAACCCGAGGTCGGCTCCCCAGACCCTCCAGAGCATCGGCGGGCCCTCTCAGCAAAGGTCACCCCAATGCCAAGTGCAGTCAGCTAAGGCCCCCCGCCGTCGGCTCCAGCCCCGCCCACCCAGCCCACGGCAGATCCAATGGGACGCCAGGGCTGGACTCGCCAACAAGAAAGCGCTTTGGGAGGCAGAGAAGCCCCGCTTCCAGTTGAAGCACGTGGCCATGCTGATGTCGGGCCCTGAGTGCAACCCTATAGAACCCCCGTGGCTCTCACCAAGACCATCACTATGATCACCTGAGTGAAGTGAGGCGCATGCGCCTAGGCATGGGCCCGAGATGGAAATGGCTTAGATTTGAAACGAAATAAAAGTTTTAAAAATGCAGGAGAGCAGAGGACAGTCTGGGTTCTGGTTGGCAGGACTAAGCATGCCCTCTGGACTGTCTGCCCATGTTCTCTGATGCATCTGCTGTCCCTGAGAGCAGTGTGTGTGGGGGGGGGTGCTGCCCTCCTGTAGCCTGGAAGTGGGGTGCCCTACAGGACTCCCACTGACCAAAGGAGAAAGTCCTGACTAGGAAGCAACACAAGGAACTTAAACTTTGCCCATGATCAGATCACGGGGAAAAGATTTTCATATCAAAACAGCTTTCGCCTTCGTACGAGGCGCCCCCGAGGGGATCTGCTGACCTCCTCCCTGGGCGGCGAGCACCTTGGGCAGGGAGGGTGCGGACCCAACTGGGAGCCCTCCTCCCAGCCCTGCCCCGCGCCAGCAAGCCTTTACAGAACTGCCTGCCTGTCTTTTCTTTCTGCACACCAGGAGAAAGCACACTGGTGGTCAGACCAGTGGAGTCGGTGTACTTTGCCTACAAAGAAGAAGCGATCGCTCCGCTCAGCGGGGATTCTCTGCACAGCCGTCCAGTATCCTGGAGCCGCACAAGAATTTAAAGCCCATCCCAGTTTGCATCTGCTTACGGGATGCCTTCTAGCTTTTTCTACATTTCCCACTTATCATTACTTAGGGGGCTACTTGTGATCAAAGAGCAAAAACCAGCCCCGCTCTCAGAAGGGTGACGGGCAGTCTCCTGCAGGGCCGACTGAAGACAGTGGCTGGCACGCAGGGCAGGCCAGGGCGAAGGAGCCACTTCCTGCTCCCGGGGAACCCCTCGAGGGAACGGAGCTGGAGAGGCAGCAGGCAACGTTACGACCTCTCCTGGGAACCAGGTGTCTCAATGAAAAGTGTGCCACTGTTGTCTGCAAGACTTCTGATGCCAGTGTGAGGGCAGGCGCAGGCTGGCAGGGGGTGGCAAAGTTAACAGATCCGAATACCCCACATGAACAGCTGCACTGTCCCCCACAAGGAGCCTGGCATGGCCGTCTGTATTAACAGCCAGGGCAGGGCCTGATTAGACGTGGAAATTTCCAGAAGGACGTGGGAGAGAAGACGACCTGACATCCAGGTCACTTCCGTGCCCTCCTACCTGCGGTGGACCAGGGCGCATGGATGGCCGGCGCGGCGGGCTCCTGGTGCTGCGGGAAGAGCTCATCGTCCTGCAGCCCGTGCTCGGGGCCCTGCCCGGCCCTCTCCTGAGCCCGCCTGCCAACGAGATGCTCGGTTACCGCGGACGCGCCTCCGGGTCGGCACGGAAACCACTTCCGGCCAACGGGATGCTCACGCCCCGGCCAGGGCGCCCGGCACCAGCGAAACAGAGGCTCTCGGGCCCCGTTCTGAGAGGAAACCACAACTTAGGGAATCACAGCAAGAGCATTCTGATCTCCGAGGTAGCTTAGCAACTGGTTAGAACAATAACAAACTACTCCTCCACTTCGCCAGCGGTGTAAACCTGCAAAAACACCCGAGCCGCACAGCCCACGGGGCACAGCTTCCATGAAGAACTACTCCCTCCCCCGGCAGGAAAAAAGCCCAAGCACAGGCCCAAACTGCTGCGCAGCCGGAACCAAACCCGCCGGAACCAAACCCGCCACTCCGGCGGGGACGGAGCCCGGCCACGAAGTCAGCGGCTGCCTCTTCACGTTTTTGTCTAAATTCAATAATCCATCTTTACGATTTATACTGTATCGTTGGGACATTTGGTTGTTTGTGTCTAAAATCAATGAAATGTAAAAAGCAAGTACCCAATAACAGAATCAGACACACCAACAGTTAAAGATAAATGTCTACAATGTACAGCGGAAAGTTACAAATGAAGACCACACACACACACACACACACACTCAGACAAAAACAGCCGTGCCCATCCCGGGCAGCAGCGAACGCTCTCCTAGGTCCCAAGTTAAACTGGCGGCTGAGGAGGAGGAGGAGTGGCGGTCAGTCCTGGAGGAAGGCTGTGTGGCCAGCCCCGCGCTGCTGTGGAGAGGCTGTGCCTGATTGCTCAACAAGCACATTCGTCAGTGCTGACTACCAACTAAATGCCTGTAACAAGGTCAATGTCCCTGCACGGCCTGCTAACAAAGCCTCACACGCAATGAGCGCACCACAGGCCCCGGCTCCCTGGACAGTCCCACTGACCAGAGTCGTAAGTCAGGAGAGCTCTGGGAACCAAGCAAAAACCGGGCTACTTATACGTGCAAAGATTTATATACACACGTGTTTGTGCACACACGCACACGCACACGCACACATGCACACGCACACACGCAGACTGAAGGCTCCTTCTGGCGCAGAAGACCCCTGGAGAAGCCAGCACGTAGTGGACACTCACAGTGCCTTCCAGATGGACCCGCCCCCCGGAAAGACCCACCTCTGCGCCTCTTCTTTTTGTTTTTCTAACTCGATGATCCTTCGCTCTTGTTCTTTCTGTTTCAGGCGTTCGGCCTCTAGGGACTTTTGCTTCTGGAGTTGCTGCTTGTTATGTATTTCTCTTAATTCCTATAAAATCAAGAAACAGGTGATGCATGAGGCGACAACACTGCCACTGTCTGTGAGCGACATTTCACAGTGGAGAGGCCTAGGCATTTAGGGAGAACATTTCAGAGGTGAAGAGCGTGACCTTGGAAAGCTGCCACCCCCTCCACTCTGGCAGGACTGTACTCCAGGAGTTGGCGAGGCCACTGCAGGGAGCCGTGCACGCATCCCATGTTTGCCGCGTGCTCCACCCATGCGCAGAGACCGCTGCAGGGAGCCATGCAAGCACCCCATGTTTGCCGCGCGCTCCACCCGTGCTCAGACGCCGTGCTAGCCTGGGAAGGGCATTCCAGGAGCCCCAGGGCCCAACTCAGCTGTAACAGTGGGTGTGACGGGTTTTAAGACACGGTGCTGATCATGATTAAAAGCTCAAGATCTTTCTGGTCATGAATGAACACCAGCCTCTACTGGCTTTGACAATGCACACACCTCCTCACGTACTATCTCCACTAAAACCCCACCTCCTTCCACTGCGCTGCCTCCGAACAAAGGGCCATGCCCTGCTCCGTGACCTCCTCCCCCACCCAAGCCGTTGGCCTTCAAATCACCTTTCAGAGCATCTTCTCTCTGAAGCCAGTGCGACGGCGTCGGCCGCCCAGACTCGACCAGCCAGCAGGGACAGGGAGCAAAGAGCCTGCCAGCACCTTGGACCCCATTTCCCCATCTGATGCTGGCCCAGCAGAGCCAGGCGCTTCTTCACGGGCTACTGACAATACAGCGCATCTCACGATAGGCAAGCTGAAGCTTATAGCCCAAAAGGATGAGGAACAAAAATGCCAGTTCAGGAGGCCCTGGGGGTGCAGGCACTGGAACCGATCTGGCTGCGTCAGCCACCCAGGAGCCGCAGGCCTGCGGGGACTGCGCGGCCGCTGCCGAGGGTCTGTGTCCGTGGCCAGCCCGGGTCTGCGAGGGGAGACGTGGAGCTACGGCTGCCTGCTGCTCTGGCTTTGCTCACTGCCAAGTCCACAGGTGGCTCTTGCTGACTTGAGCTCCTGCCTTCAGGTTCGTTCAGAGCCGGAAGCCCAGGGTGGAGGAAGCTCCTGGAGCAGGTCAGAGTTAAAACGCTCTTCTTCCCGGTGAAGAGCCCTGAGTGTCAGACTAGCCTTTCCTGCCGGCGGGGCTGTCTTAAGAGGAAGCCCAACACGCCAGCCAGCTCCGTACCGAGAGGCCCCGGCCCAACGGGCTACAAGAGAAGCTGAACTGGAGATCAGGAGGTTAGGGAGAGACGGGGCCCGGAGGGAGGGAGGTGCCAGGGTCGGGGAGGGGGAGAGGCGGCCGCTTCAGTGGGCGGCCCAGCAGATGAGAGCGGGCCCTCCAGGCAGGGTGCAGCAGGAGGAGGCAGCTTGGCGGCCTAGTCCCTATGGCAGCAGCCCTGGCACCCGGCTTGCAGATTATGCAGGGTGCCTGGGCAAGTTAGCTGGGACAGGGAGGGGCAAGGATGCCACGACTGCAGACGGGAGGAACGATGGCACCTCACTCTGACTTCCCAGCACTAATTAAGAACAGCACCACCCCCAGGAAAGAGAATCCCGTTTTTCATTCTCCTCACCATCACACCATGGGAGGTAAAACTTTCATGTGTTTAAAAATTC